CAGAAGTTAAGAAATCTAAACAATTTAATTGCTCATCTTTCAGTAGCCAAAACTAGATCAGAGATAATTTAATTCACTCTGCCTGAAACACGAAGTCAGGCAGGAACTTTCAACAAAGAACTTGGTGGATAGAGCCTTTCTAAAGATATCACACCATCCTCACCCATGCAAGGGAGTTAATTCACATGTGCAGCTTACCCACCAGGCCTAACAGGGAAGAGAAAGGGGCTCTTAGCGATGTAATCAAGACTCTGCTAACTATCCCACAACAGCTCAGCTTACTCGCCATTGTTTAGGCAAGTGCCAAAGGGATGGAGAAGTGCCAGGCTTTCACAATGTGTGCCAAGAAAGAGCAGAAAAAGTTAAATAGGAGACTTCATCCCTCATATACTTCAGCAATGAATGACCTACTTGGACTTCTCAGTGCCTTTCAGAGTTTTCACACCACTTTCTGTCCTGTCATTTACCTGCAAGAGAAACAAAACTGCAACAGTCTGAGTGGCTGCAGAGAGGGAAAAAAATCCACAAGGGAAGGCAGATCTCAGCAGGAGCTGTGCAGTCCATCACCCAGGCTCCACATGAACAACAGAACTGAGGAACCTTGCTCTCTTCCGAGCTCTTTGACTATAAATTCAGCTCCCAATCACATAACAGGAGTGCAATTCTCACTGGTTGTTCCTTCAAGCCAATGCTAGAAAGTTCTTTATGCCTTTTGACGCTAAAAGTTGTTTCTAGGAAAAAAAAGAAACCCCTCAAAACCTTCCAAATAATATTTTTAAAACTTCTACCTCTGTCAAATTAGGCTGAAATTGGTTTATTGATTTAAAGATTTTTTTTCCCCAGGGATGAAACACACATAAGCAATATTTCTTAGGAAACTACAGTGAAAATGAAGTCTTCAAAATGATATTAGTGACCAAACATCAAACACCTTAAATTCTATGAATCCAAGATATAGAATGGATAATTAATATTTCCAGAGGGCATTAGCTCATGAAAGAGATGCACAGCTGATGAAATAACACTGTGAAAAGGTGCAGCTGCACGGCACACAGGAACTAAAACCCAAGATTTCAGTAGCTATCCAGACCCCCAGTGTATGAACGTGACACATATCCTGCCATAATCAAAAGCTGCAGTGTTAAACTTGGATTTTCCTCCTGCAACGACGTGCAGGAGAGGCATGGACTAATCGAGACAGGGACCCTTCACAGTTTATTTGAACACAAGTTGTGCTGGGGAGCACAGCAAAGGTGTAAGAACAGGAGCCAGGGCTGCAGGGTGCTGTGCCCACACCCACTAACTCACCTCCTGGGCGATACAAGCAACTTGCACACCTCCTGGGGGTCACACTCAGCTCATAAAAAGTTAATAACCACGTCCTTCCCACCTTCCACAGATTCTGACAAGGCTTTAGTCACTGCTGTTGGCTAAAAGAAACAAACAGTACCTCAGACATAAGGTTTTGTGGAGAGGCGTTTTAAGCACGTTGCAGGATGAATGACAAATCCAGTTTAAGCATTCTTGATTCCTATTTGAGGTAAAAAGAAAAATTAAAAAACTGTTAGTCTGTCTTCCTATCATCTTTTGTCATCTAGCATTTACTGGCACTCTTAGTTATAACAAAGCCACTGCTGTACATGAAGGGCAATGTTACACCAGGAAAATCTAAGCTTCTTTCCATGAGAAAAAAAAAAACAAACCCTCCACACTTTTCATTGGATTGCACTTCTCTGGTTCCTCCTTCTCCACCTCCAAGTTTCACTGGGGGGCAGGGGGAGAGAGATTTAATAAAAAATAAAAACACAAGCAAGAATAAACAAAGGAAAAAAAACAAACAAAACCAAATCCAAAACAATTTCAAACAAAAACTCCCAAATGAAAACAGAAAACCCAAAACATAGAAACCAAAACAAACAAGCAAACAAACCCCCAAACAAAAACAAAAAATGCACTTGCTCAATCAATACCAGTTTTTTCAAGGAGTTTTGGTATGACTAAGCAGTTAATGCATGCACTCAGTGTATATTTTATCATGGCTTGTGCACTACAATACTGCAACAATTGCCAAGTCTCATTTGCATCAACTATTGCAATTCTAAAATGTGAGCAAAAGTTACCAGTCAAGGGAGTCTCTCAGCAGTTCACCAGATTTACCCATACAGGCATGTAAAGTAAAAAAATATTCCCTATAAAGGTACAAATCTTTATATGACACCAGATTGTGTGAAAATACTTTGGACCCCGAAAGAATCACAGCCTCACCACATAAGCAAATCAAACCACACGTTCAGTTTCCTCCTACTAATTGCAAACCACACATTTAATTGTTTTCCCAGGATCTCTGTTAATTTCCTTCTATGAACAATATTTAAAAGCTTTTTAAAATGGAAATATTGATCTAAAATATCTCATAATCTTAAATTCCATGTAGAAAAACTGCTGTGCTGATGAACAGTGGCAAACTGGCTCCAAAGCATGCCTTCAAGTAACGTATTTTACATCTTACAAGGAAGAGAACGTGAGCTTTTTAAAAATCAAAAAACGAGCTTGGGGCAAAGAGCTAATGATGCTGCCACAAGAAGTACTGCACCCCAGCCTAGGACACACGTTGCAAGCATAAGGTAGGCATAAAGAACATTTAAATTAAAGCATTTAAAGCTTTTTTATAATTCAGAGTAATTATGGCGGGATCACAAGTGTTTATAAAGAATAAAGAGATACTGATTACTCACTAGTTCTTGAAAAAAAAAACAAAAACAAAACCAGAAAACAACACAGGGGGGAAAAACAGAAAGAGAGAAGTTCAGAACAAATAAAACTCAGCATTGCTTCTTGGGGTTTGAGGTTTAGCAGGAGCTCAGTGCAGGTTGTTACAAAACTGAAAGTTCACGGCGCTGCAGAAGAGAACCACTGAGCTGATGAAGAGGAGCTCCGTGGCAGCTGCTAAACGAGACAATACCTGGCACGCCTCAGAGTGTTTTAGGTCACCACCTTTCACTGCTCTTCCTGAGACAGCACTTTGCCAGTTTCTGCAGAATAAATCCAACCTTCCTACTCACGTATCCCTCACTCTCAGCAGCGAAGCAAGAGACCTTTCCAAAGGCTACCTTATCCCGTGCCAACTTTTTATGGCACTGGCTGGGAGCAGAGGTCGCCTTAAATGTGTCGCGGTGCCCTCGATAGGGATTAGCATCGCGCTGGCGTTACAACAGCGCGGCCCTACCTCGGCACCCTGCGGGAGGGGGGAAAGCGCGACCTGCCCTGCCCCGCACATCCCCGAGCGGAGACCGGCTCGTTCCAAACCCGTCCCCGGCATCCCTGGGCCCCCGACCAGCACATTCACCTCCCCAGGGTTGGAGCAGGGGCGCGCATCCCGCTTCCCAAAACGCTCCGGACACGGAGGAGCCAGCACGCCACGCGGCCGATGAGCCCTCGGTTCTCCCCTGCTCCGCCGCGGAGCCGGCCGCGTCCCGGCGGGTGCAGGTGCCGCCACAGCCTCCCCCGGGACGGGACCCGAGGAGCCCGGGCCGGCAGAGGCCGTGGGCCGCGCCCCACTGTCAGCGCGGGTGGCAGGGCCGGGAGCGGAGGATGTTCCGGCACGGCCGGGCGGGAACACACGCGGCCACGCGCGGGGCCCGCCGGGGCCGCTCCCCCGCCGCGCCCGCCGCTCCCCTGCTCGCCCCGCGGGCTCTGTGGGCCCCGCGCTCACCTCCGGCGCGGCCCCCGCGCCCGCCGCTGCTCCCCGCGCTCCCGCGGACCCTCGACCCGGCCGCGCCCCGCGCCCGCCACCGCCCGCCGCGCGCACGCGCCCTCCGCGCCGCCTCTCCTCGAGGGGCCGCCAGGGGGCGCCGCGGCAGGCGCGGCCGGGGAGCGCCGGCCCCGGCCCCGGCCCCGGCCCCGGCCCCGGCCCCGGCCCCGGCCCCGGCCCCGGCCCCGGCCCCGGCCCCGGCCCCGGCCCCGGCCCCTGGCGGGAGGAGCGGAGCGGAGCATCCCCTCGGGCCCGGACCGGAGCATCCCTTCGGGCCCGGATCCCGCCGGGGCCGCGATGTAGTGCTCCGATGCTCCGATACAGCCCCGCCATCTGCCCCACTATGATCCGGCTGATGCAAAATTCGTTACTCTGTAATTATGTGTTGTCCGAATATAGCTTGAGCGAGCGTTTTGGATGATTTCTCAGTTGATTCACTTCGACACCCATGAGCAGAAATACACACGCGTCTCTGTGTGCACAGCCACAAACACCTAACATGTATCCTTAATAACGACAATACATCCTTAATAAAGATAATGCTAGCAGAAGGAAAGAATGGCAAAACCGAGTGATTGCTTTTGCTTTCTCTACGCAAGACCGTCCAGTTGAGTGGCTCTGTGGCAGAAGATTATTGGGTTTTTCACACGGGTGAATGCTCCGGTGCACGGCGTGTGCTGCCCTCCGCCCCCATTACCGGGGCTGTGCCGCGTTACCCAGCGCAGCCCCCGGACATCCCCCGCCCCCGCCGCCTCCGCCCGGCCCGGGCGGTCTCAGGCCTCTACGGGGCTTTGCAGCGAACGCCAGGGCTCCGTTGGAGCTGCCGGCGGCGGTGACAGTCCTGCGTCCGCGGTTACCATCTCCCGACAAAGAGCCGCAGGGCCCGGCTTCCCCAGCGCCGGGCAAGGGCGAGGGCAGGAGCTTACACTCCGCTCAGCCCGGGGCTCAGCACGCTCAGAAACGGCAGGGAAGGTGTGTCCACCCCCAGATATGCTAGGTGCTGGGCTCCGAACACCCAGTCCCCAGGGACACCGAAGGTGCAGGCACGGGAACTCCTCCTATTGTAACTGCCCCAGCCAGGCACAGAAGAGGAAGTGACAGACACCAGGGTTTGGCCCTCTGATGTTTCTTAAGCGCCCGTCATGGATTTCAGAGGACAACCTTTGCTCTGGGCGTTTATTAATTGTCCCTTCTGACCCAGGGAGAGGCCATGCTGCAGCCTGCACACGGTTCTGCACTAGGTCTGCTCTTCTGGATCTGGTGCCAAGGTGCCCAGTAGCTCAGGAACCAGCAGCACTCAGCTGCTGAAGCACTTGATCGTCAATTACTCGGTGCTTTCATATCCGGTGTTCCCATCTCCAACTCTTCATATTCCTCCTCTGACCAGCTCAAGCTGTCATCAGAGTCCTCATCCTGCACAGCCCCAGGCTCCTCTGTGTTTGCAGCTTCCTTCTCTTGCTCACCACAGGACTGCGACTTGCTTTGGGGGAGCTCCAGCCTGGCCCAGGAGCCAGGGCTGGCTTTGCAAAGCGTGATCTCCACCTTGGCTGGGACCATGCTCACAAAGCTCTTCTCTACATCAATGGTCTAGAGAGAGGGAAAGGTGCAGTGCGCCGGGCAGGGGAGGGCAGGCAGCAGGCTCTCAGCCTTCCCCTCACCAGCAAAGCCCTGCCAGAGGAGAAATCTCCTGTGCCAGGAGAAGCCTGGGCTGCAGCTGAGCTCAGCTGAGCTTCACATTGCTATGCCTCAGCAGCACCACGGTGCTCACACCGAGCTCAGAAGAGCTCAGCTTGCCTCAGCCACATGCGCAGCTGCAGCACAGCCTCTCCCCAGCAGCGAGCTGTGCTGAGACACAGCCATACCCACACCTGTCAGCCCTCTGCTGCCTGCAGGCACAGGCAGCACGCACCAGAAATACAGATAAGAAATGCACGGGCAGATTCCTCAGCCTCACTGCTGCTCCCTAGCCAGCAAGCAGCTGAAAAATCAGTCCCATCGCTCAGACTGCCTGCAGTCTCACAGCAGGATTGTGAGGGACACAGGGACCTGCCGGGCCAAAGAACATTTGGGGCAGCCTGGGACCAAACCCATAACACCCATAGGGCTGGCAGTGACCTCCAGCTCTGACCTTAGCCCTGGATCAGTCAGTGCAGGCACCTCAGCCTCCTCACCACCCTTAAGGCGTTTCTCAGCAGATATGGCCATAAATGCCTCTATCTGGGCAACCTAGCCCAGGATGAAAAGCTCAGGCTGCCACACAGAACTCCAGTCCAGCCCTATGCAGACTGCTGGAATAGAGAAATCAAAGCAAACAGGATCTTACCCCCCAGAGCTCCAGTTCTGCCTGGAAAATCTTATTCCCTTCAAAGATGATATGAGCCTCAAGCTGAAAGATCAACAGAAAATTATCTGAGAGGGTAACACAGCACTGCCAGAGCTCTTCCCCCAGACATTGCAGTTGCCTTTTAGCACCATATTGCATCCCACATCCTGGCTCCAGTCTGGTGATCCCCTCAGCACCTGGCAATATTTCACCCCTTTCAGAGCATGGCAGGTTCAGCTCTGTCACAGGTCAAGGGATTCAAGGCCAGCAAATCCATCCATTGAAGCTGAAAGCCAGAGCTGCTGAACAGATGCAGCCAGTGAAGCCACCGGGCTCTCAGCTCAGGGATGGCAAGCTGGCAGTGCCAGCCCTGCTTGTAGCAACAGGCCAAACAGGTCACCAAAGAGCACCAGGCACCCAGCTGGCTCCTGGGTGGGCAAACTCAGGTGGGCCATGGCAGTGCCCATCCCCACCCCACTCACCACGGTGCGATTGGCCTTCACGTTGCTGAGGGTGGGCAGGGGGTTCTTGGCATAGACTGTCACCACCACCTGGCTGCTGGTTTGGTGCCAGTCCTGCCGGCACAGCACCGCCTTCTTGTCCTGCCAGGAGAGGAACCCATCACGGCACAGCTGGGGCTCAGACACCACCCAAATAGAGGGGATGTCTGAGCCAGAGGATGCTCCCTTGCAAATCTCCTTTGAGCTGGTTAGTTCAGGTTGGCACAAGCTTGGCAAGAACAAACTCTGCCTTTTGTGCAGATTTTTGAGGGGAAATGGTTCATGCAAAGGTGGGCAGCCTCTGCCGTGTCCTATGCAACATCTGTGCTCTGCTTGGGGCTGCTTCAGGATACTCTAAGATCAGAGACATCTTCTAGCTCCAGAGACACTCCACTATGCCCAAGCTCCTAAGTGCTGTACACAGTCAGGAAACTCAGCCTGGAGGGCAATGCAGGGGCTGTTACTGGATATGGATCATGCCATTATGCTACATTTGGGAGTCAGATAAGCCCCAACTGGCCACATTTCACCTTTGTCCACCTTGTCAGCACCACAGACACTGACAGACCTGTCCCCCCACCAAGCTCATTTCTGACCATCACAAGGAGACAGACCACCTGCAGCCCTCCACACAAGAAATGCTCCAGGAAGAGTCCTGGCCCCAGACTTGGGTGACAATTAGCACAAAACATCTGCATCACAACATCACAGCTCCTTCACTGCAGCCTCCTTAACATTCAGGATATGTTTTCTGCTCCAGAGCAAAGAAGAGTTTGGGCTCAGAGAGGGTTGCTGGGAGCAGTTCTGACTCAGAGGAACGTAGTGCACTTTCAGGGTTATCCTGGGCTGCTTTGGTGCAACTTTCCCATCTCAAGCTTGTTTCCAGTCAAGAATTTTCCTGGGGGAACTTACACACACAGTATTGAGAATTGGGATCTTGTCCCCCACTTCCCTGCTACAATACCATGATGGTATGTGGATGAGATCCCTCCTGAGAAGCAGCTGCAGCGGGAAAGCTTCATTAAAACCAAATTCAGTTATCCACAATCATCTGACAAAGCCTTTTTTGTAGGACTTTTCCTGTGCTCAGCCACCTGTCTCTAATATGGCAACCTGCAATGCTGGCTATGCTGTGTCCAGGACCAGGTCCTGCCTAGCTCAGCTTTCTATTGCACATCTGCTCACTGGGTGTGAGACCTGACACATCTTGTGAATGCAGAGCAGCATCTTAAACGGCAGATGGGTAAAGATTAGGCAGTCAGACCCTGTGCAGTCATCTATCAGCAATTATGAATATTAAGAATTAAATGCAGAAACCTGTGTGAATGCAGAGCAAGGGAAGGAGCACTCTCAAATACCGATAATGCCAATTGCTCACATTAGTTGCCTCTGCTAAGAGCCCCCTTACCTTCTTTTCTGTCCAGCAGTGACACCCATGGCTGCAGCCTGGTTGCTCCATGAAGGCACTGAAGTCCGTAGTTTTGATTCCACAGCAGCTCCAGTACTTCATCCTGAGGAGAGCAGGGTCAGGAGCAGGAGAGGGGACTACAGCAGGGTGAGGAGGGAGAGAGGCTCATAACCCAGAGCTTTCCCTGCCCACCTGTCCCCCTGTCCCCTCATGAGGTGTCACACACAACTGCAGTGGCCATGCTGCTGGGGCCACCTAGCCTTGCCATGCAGCATTTTGTGGCAGGGTCAGTTTGTTCTCTGGTAAAGTGTTTTTCCTTACCCCTCATGGAAGACAGGGACACCAGGATGAAACATACAAACTTCTGTGTTACTCTCTGGGCCCTGGTAGATCTGTGGAGAAAGAAGCAGAGGAATGTTCTATCTATGTCTCTGGCACAGGACAATGTGGCACAGGTGTCCATTCATCAGTGCCCATCCATGTAGAGGGCACAGCACAATGCCCAACATCACCCTTTTGCCACGTGGGTGCCCTCACTCGGGGACCATGCCCAGCCAGCAGCCCAGCACTCGTCCCTGCTCCCTGCTGGCAGGGCAGCCACCCTGACCTTGCCAGGACAACAGTCACCCCTGAGACCCTGTCAGCAGCCCTTCTGTACCCTTCTCCCAAACATAGCCTGCTCCCAGCCCAGAGCTTGGCAGCACAAGGACAGTGGGCAAGTTCAGACACTACAGAAACTCACTCTGAGGTGCAAGAGGTCATTTATCATTCCCGTCCTTTCCCCTCCTTCCCAGAGTATGTCAGTCTCATGTCCTCATCCACCTCCTGCTTTTGCTCCCCACTCCCTCACTGCTGCTTTCCAAGTATGTTATCCCTGCCACAGCTCATCCCTCCCACTCATCAAGGCAGACAGTGCTCCACAAGGCAGCCTCGGACAAGAGAGAAATTGGGCTGTGCTGCAGCAGTTCAATGCAGGTGGGAATTGGCCAAATGCATTCCGCCTACGTGTCCAGTCCTGAATATGTGCTGTATGTCACTGCAAGGAGTCAGCAGCAGTGAAACACAAATGTACCACCAATCTGGAAGCCTCTTGCAGGAAGGTAGTTGAGAGGTGGTAGAGGTGGCCGCTCCCAGAGTGGGATGATAATACGGAGCAGGTGGGCACTGCCACCTTCCACCTGCCTGACACCTGCCCTGAACCTGGACCTGTGATGCTCCTGGCCACAAGGCACAGGCTGGGTAAAGATGGGACCCTGCCAGATACTCACTGCCTTGCAGGCTGCGTTCTTGCACGTGGTGCCAGCTCTCACCTGGACAGCCTCCTCACCTGCAAGAGCAACACAACTTCACCCAGGACACACACTGCCCATGCCTGCCCCCAGATCCTCCCCCAGTCCTCTGCCAGTTCTCCAGCTGAGCACAGACCATCCCAACGTTCCTCCAATACATGCTTTTGCAGGTTTGCAGGTTTTGCAGTTTTGCAGGACGTGCAGCCGTCACTAACTGCACTGAGCCTGTCATGCAAAACCCTGTGCTGGACTTGCCGTGTGCAACCCTGGTGCCATCCATCAGCTAATCCCTACCTGTACAACTGCTCTCAAGTATCTTGTCCTCAGAGGACATGTTCAGTTTCTCCAGTGCCTGCTCCAGAGACCTGGATACTTTAATTGGCAGCAGTTGTCTTGGCTCATCAGAGCTGGGAAAAAAGCAGAAGCAAAGGCCAAGTGGGTTTTTCTGTGATATAAGTGCTATTACCTCTCTCTCGAGAGCAGCAGGACAGAACACACACAGAAGTGACACAGCACTGTCGCTGTTAGCTGAGCCTGTTTCACCTTGGTCTTTCCCGCAGCATCTTCTCAGCTGATTTTGGTCCTTGGACGATGATCTCCTTTGCTGGTTTGGACTTTAGTTCATCTGAGGTCTTCTCTTGGCTGGAAGGCTCAGGGGGCTTCTCCTTGCTGTGAAACCCCTTTGTGCATCCCTGAGCAGTAGAGACAAGCCTGATGACTGCTTTGTCCTCCTCTATCTGGTGGCTGTTCTCAACCCCTGTGAGTTTCCATGATGTGGTGGCTCAGTGTCCTGAAGACATGGGCTCTGACCTTCCACTTTGGGAGCAGCACCCTTGCTTGGAGGGTTCTTGGAAGCAGATAGCAAATCCCTGGCTGGCAGGGCAAAAGGGACATCCCTGACACAGGACAGGGCTGGGACAGGACTGGGCAGGGGCCAGAAGGAAAGGATGGAGGAACACTGTGTGCATTTGGGCTGGCAGGTCACTCACCTTTATGGAGAGGAACTCAGAGAAGTCTGTTGTACGTTTCTTGCAACAAGACCAGCCCTAGACACCAGGACATGAGAGGCTGGTCAGGTGTGGGCAGTCCTGTGGGCACAAGGGCACTCCACACAGCTGCAGCCCCAGCTCCTGCCCCACTCACCTTCAGGGCATCATGGAAGATGGGGACACCTGGGTGATACAGGCAGGAATCTGAAAAGGGAAAACGGGCAAAAGCTTTCAGGAGAAGCAATCCTGCCCACGAGCCACCTGTGACAGCAAGCAGTCCAGAGCCAGCTCCTGCCATATGGACTGCCTGTGCTGGGCTTAGCATTCCTGTGCTGGGCTTAGCAGCTCAGCTGCAGCACAACAGCCAAGGCCACACTCTGGGAAAGCAGCACACGATTCCCATTCCCTCTGGTGCAAGGCACACAAATTCACTCACCCTCGGTGTTGTGCTCGGGATCAAACCTCTGCCCGCAGCCCTTGTTGTAGCACAGCAGTGCCATAGTTCAGGAGTACTCGCAGTGTCCTTCACTCCTTCCACAGAAGTCGCATTATCTTTGCCCGGATCCCTCCTCTGCTTCCCCACCGCCTGCAGCCAGGCACGGGAGGTGGCTTTGCCTGTCTCTGGAGGCAGCTGTGGGAGGCGGCCGGTAACGGGAGACCGGGCTAAAGATGGACAGGACAGCTGATGGGGCTTGGCGCCTGGGATATCTCCACAGGCATTCCTGTGCTGGCCCTGCGCCCAGCAGAGGGAATGGCCACTGCAGGGTGGCCCCACGCCCGGGTGTGCAGAGGTCCTGTCCCGGTGCCTGCCACCCTGCATCCGTCACGGAGGCTTCGGCATCACCCCAGTGCTCACACAGCCTTTGAGCAGCCGTGCTCAAAGAGGAGATCCCTGAAACTGAAGGGAAGAGAATTCCCAGAGTCACAGGGCAAAACTCATGCTGATCTCACCCAGCCCCAGAAGGCACAGCCACCTGCTAAACAGAGGCACCAGCAGAGCAAGGCTGTGCACATGGCCAAGACAGTTTTTGATGCTGGCTTTTGTGCAGCCCAGGAGTAACAGAGTGGTCAACGGAAGGTTCTTGGCCAGACACGAGAAGTAGGACACAGTGATTACGTGGGTGATTATGATCAGATTTATGGCTAATACAGTTTTTAAATATCGCCAATGCAGTATCTAAACCACAATTCTACCATCTATTACAAATTAGGGTATATACATGAATGGTCCCTCCCATTGAGTCACAAGCTTCAGTGAGACCCACTCACTTTCTAAACTTCTCAGAGAAATCTCAGTGTGGCTCAATCCACTTACTCTTAGATTTGGTTACAGTCTTTGTCTAAAGGATTATAATATCCACAGGTTTGGCTAGAAACATACAGATTTACCTTGAAGAATTCACAATTACAAAGCAATAAGACAACTTTGGAGCTGCTTTAGAATTTTATTTCTGTATTTGACCAGTCTTACAGTTCTTCACTACTCCTCACAGTATTCTGTGTGCTCCTTGCATTCTATCTGGACATACCCTGCAGGTGTCCCCAAGAGGGGTAAGGATGACAAACACCACCCAGAAGCTGCCTGTGACCTTGAGAGTGCAGTTTGCATGGTTGGCCCAGACTCCAGCAGCATTTCATACACTTTTGCAGGTCAATGTGCACCACAGTCAATCACAAACAGCTCAGCTCCCCCATCTCTGGAATGCATTAATCATGCAAGCATTCTTTGAGTTCCTCCTGCAAAACCTGCCTGATGTTTTCATCTTATCTTTGGTCAAACCACATTGCCCAGCAGAGACTGTGGAAAGGGAGAGGGAAGGATGCACACACAGACTCAGACCTGATTATCTTCCCCTGTCATCACATCAGGGATGAAAATTGTTCCCTGGAAGATCATTGTAATCATAGAAGAACACAAAATGTTACTGGGGTCCCCTGTATGCAGAAGGGGTTTTCTCAGACCCCCTGCTCCCCTTCTGGGACCTAAGAGTTTTCCCTTTACAAACAGGAAACCCTCCTGAGATCAAAGGTTTTACTTAGTTCCTCTAAGTGTCTAAATCAAATATTTTCTTTGTGCTGTTCCTGTTTGCAGGGACAGCTGTTTCCTGGGTGCTTCCCTGACCTCCTGGAGCACACAGCATCTGGGGACCATTTCTGTTGAGGAACTGGGGTTGACATAAGTCCTTGGCACTATCAGACAGTACAAAGAACAAGTCCTGCAGGCAGGAAGGAGTCTGCTCAGGAGGTGAGCCCACAGGGTCTGCCATGGCTGATGCAACCCTAACTCTGTCCTACAATGTTTGTTTAACCCACTTAATCCCTCTACAAAGCCTGAAGAATTTTCTGTCATCCCAAGGGGGTCTCCAGAGTTCAGAGTTAGGGCGAACTGTTGCCAGAATTCTGGACCTTATCAGGGAGAAAACTCCAGATTATTTCACACTGTCCTGCTACTTCACCTCCAGCTCAGTTCTCCCACCCCCACCTTGAGATACCCCAGCCAGCAGCAACGTCAGGCTTTTCCTTGTCAGCTCCTTAGCAAGGAGCCAGCCCTGCTGCAGGGAAGGACATGTATCACTGTCACACCTCTTTATATCTGGGTCACCTCTGTGCAAACCTACATCCACCCAAAAGCTGGGAGGGAAACAGGAGGGCAGTGGGGCACTTGTCACATCAGCATGAGCCATGTGGCTTCAAAGCGCTGTACTGACTCAGGTCACAATTGACCCAACAGTCCCAAAGGTGGGTAAAAAAATGCTGCTAGCATCCAGAGCCTCTGCTTAGGTGAGAAAGATCACTGTGGACCCAGGGAGCTGGGCAGAGGCCTGTGGCAGGGGAATTTGCCATCCTGGGGGCTGAGCAGAGCTATAGTGTTTCAGATCTCCCTGTTCTTTCCACGAGCTGTCAGCAAGGCTGCAGCTGTCACCGACCCCGTGCCAGGGAGAATATGGAGCTCAGGTTACCCTGCACACCTCAGAGGAAACGCCAGCAGGCTGATGTGGCTGACACACATGGCAGAGATAAACAGCAGGTACCCCGGGGGACTGTGGCTGAGGCAACTCTGTACTCTGCACCTGAGACAGGAATCGAGCTCCCAGCTGCCAATTAAAAATAGAGCCTGTTTGCTTTGTGTACGCTTAATTTCATACACAACAGATCAAAAAAAGAAGTAGAAAAAAACCAGAATAAATTATTCTCAAACCCAGCTTAATCTGTTTGCCCTTGAACAATCAGGGTCAGTGTAAAACAGTCCTGCAAGGTCCTGGGGAGAACATGCTGGATACCTCCAGGGAAACAAACCCAACTCACCCCTGACCCTTCAGTCATTCAGGATGCCCTGTGGAACTGGAGTAGCAGCAAGACATTGGATTGCTAAAGCACAGAGTAATTCCTCAATACAAAAGGCTTGTTAAGGTGAAGGGATATATCTGAAAAACATACTACCACTATGTATGCAGCAGGCAGGATTAATGTTTTATTTATTTGAGCAATAAAGTCTTTCTCAAAAGAACATGCAGCAACTCTGCCTGGCCACTCCTCAGATAGCACTGCTAAGGGATAATAAAAAAAAAACCTGTCCAAAGGGTCTGCACTGCTTGTACTCAACAGTTCAGAGAACAAGTTTGAAAAAGACCAGAAAACTACCAGAAATGGGGATGTGGGAAACCTCTCCAGTCAAGACCACTGTTTTTCTTCAGCTTGGGTTATTATAGGACTATTGCTGCAACACTTCAGTCTCATTGGACAATTACATCCTCAAACTGGAACTGTCTACCCAGCTGATGAGGATTTTCTCCCTGTAGTTCAGACATTGTCTTGCTCCAGAAACAGTTCATTTTCTGTGGAGCTGAGCAACTCCTTTAGGAGTTGATTCACTCTGGTGCTCACTCTGAAGGCACACACAGTATTCCTCAACAAAAAGTGCGCTTTGGTCCCCAGTCCAAAAAGAAAAGTTCAGTCTACACCTAAGACTCAATCATGTGTTCATTAGCTGGCATCCTGCTGGCAGAAATCCCTGAACTAGCACTGAGTGTGGGGTCTTAGCAATTTTCCTTTTGAGGGTCCTGTTGCCTTTCTAGCAAGGTCACTGTGAGCTTAGTTAGAGCAAGTGGTCAAATTGTAGTGAGGGAAAGTGCCCCAAAACCAGTATTGTGCCTGGCTGAGCTCCTTGCTTTCTTACTCTCTTTTTACTTACATTTGGCACCAGGTACCAAGTCGTGACCAAGAGAAGAAAGAATGATGGCTCCTTTCAGCAAAGCCACAGAAAATCACATCTTCCTTCTTTCAGCCCCCAAAGGTAGCTCACTGGAAAAGTAGTTTAGCACACGCTATCACTTGCAGCTTTCTATGATATATTACAGCTGCTAGTGAGAGGAACTGTGCCAGGAAAAAAAAAGGAAATGTTTGTCTACTGCTTTGATATGACAGAATTATCCACATACCAGGTGGATTTTTCAGATTTATCTTTATTTCTCGCAAATGCACTCACTACTGCTAAAGAGGAAGCTGCATAAAGCGTGAGTTGTAAAGTCCACAAATGATGGGGGTTTAAAGTTAAGAGCAAAATAGTAAGAACCAAATTGCACATCAGTCCTTGGTGTGATACAAACTGACACTGAAGAACTGCATTTTAAACCAGCTGATCAAATATGACAGCAAAAGGCATCAGTTTCTCCTCATAAGAGTCAAAATATTTCATCAGTCTGCAATTACATAATAGACAGCACTCTGGAACTGCATGCAGAGGGAAACATTCCCTTCTGCACGGTGGCTGAACCTCAGCACAACAGTGCTGTGAACAGCCCAGCCTCAGGAGCTGCACTCGTTCCCTGAAACACCAAGCCTCAAAGTGCTTCAGCAGAGCAAGGAATTGCTCTGGAGTGAGGCAGCCTTGCCTGCTCCTGTGCCCAGCTGTAAATGCTTCTGCACTACAGTCAGTCTGGCCCTGACACACGCCTCTGAAAATCTTAGTAAAGGTTTGCTTTACAATTTCCTTACTCATTCGCAGGTTTTCAGTCTCCTCCTTTAAAGCAAAATAAGAATGATTACCTATAGCATTCATACCAGAACTTGCTTTTCTTTCATTGCTGCCACTGGATCTTTAATTTAGATGTCTAAAATCTTGTTAGATGGGTTTTAGGCAGTGCTAAATTCCTCCTTCCGTATGATTTTACACACTCTTCTCCCAGGGAAAGACAGTAACCAGACCCATCCTTATCTTATACTTGCTCAGGACTGAGGCAGCAGCAGAGTGAGGCAGCTCAGAGTGAACACCTGAGCTCTGCTGTTTCACTAGGACAGCAATTTCTCCCTTAGCTGCTCAGTAACACACAAGCCAGCTGAGCAATGGACAGGTGAAGGAGGTAATACAGACACCTGGATGCAACTTCATGGTTTCTTCCCCTCATATTTCACACTTCAGAATTAAACAACGTACTTACCCAACAGCTGTGGCACTGGTGAATGCCTGCTGGCCTCATTCCAGACACAAGCTACAAGAACA